GTGCTCTGGGAGATGATTCCTAGTACTGAACACTCATGGTCTCAGTCCCACACAAAGTCTGAATCCCATAAGGTTTGTGGGAGGCTTTTAAAAATTCACATATTTTTTTCCTCATATTTTCCCCTCTCTGTTAAATTAATATGTTCAGATAGAGGGGAAATCAAACCACTTTGGATGTGTTAAAAATCTCAATCTTCTCAGCTCCTATTACCAACTGCTAACCACTGCTAAAATCATTCATTTTTGGAACTGGAACAACCTCAATAATATCAGACATGGGACAAAATAAAAATAGAACATGTGAATTAAGTCTTCATTAATTCAGAACATAAAATAAAAATTTAAAAAACTGAGCAGATGCAATTCTGACTATGTCTAAAACAGGGGTCAGCAACTTTTGTTGTCGGGGGGCCGGGGGAGGGGATGGCACTGGGGCCGGGCAGACGCGTGCGCACTTACCCCTCATGTCATGCACATGCGTGTGCGCATGGTGGCGTCATTTGGGAAGGCCCAACGGCGACGGCGCCATGTGAATTCACACAAATTTGGGACTTCCTAAATGGCGCCTGCCGGCATGGCAGCAGTGGCGGCAGCGGCAGCTCGGCGGCTGCAGCAAGACTGGCCATGGGTTGGGCCCAAGGCCTCAGTGGGCCGCACCCGGCCTGTGGGCTGTAGGTTGCCGACCCCTGGTCTAAAGGCTATTGCTAGGTCTTGTTTTACTATGATCTGGTGGTGCTGTGAAACTTCAGTATTAAAAGAAGAGAGGTAAGCAAACAGCTCTCCCAATGAAACTCTTGGAATACATTTCCAGCTGAACCCAAGCAATCTCTGCATTTCAGTATCAACTTATAGCCTGGCACAAACTTTCTGCAATGCATCTTTCTATGGCCCTTCACTATGAGAAGGGAAACATATGGAAGAAGATGGTTGTTAAGGTGCCTGAGTCACAAACCATTTAATGCTTTAAACGTTAGCATGAACTTGCTAAGCCTGGAGACAAATCAGCTAACCAAATAACTATGGGCTTTTACAGACTGCCAGAAATAGTACAAATTGAGGCCACTTTAACTGTCCTGGCTCATCAGTGCTAGGGAATCATGGGAATTGTATTTTTTTCTAGGACATTCAGACTTCTCTGCCAGAGAGCTCTGGTGCCACAATAAACTACAGCTCCCATGATTCCTTAGCACTGAGCCAGGACAGTTAAAGTGGCCTCAATTTGCACTATTTCTGGCAGTCTGTAAAGGCCCTTTCTCACTCTAGCAATCTGGTTTCTGCATTTTTCCCAGCTGCAGTTTTTGGAGACGGAACTACTTTCCGTCATGCAGCCCTGCATCCACAGCTGTGTGTGTGTAGCTCTCTAGTTACATTACATAATGGACTGCTTGGCAAGATAGCCTCCAATTCCAACTGATTTTAAAAAGAAGATATCTAACATTGTGTTGCAGCCTTCCTACTGAATTTCATGGAATTTACAAATCACTTATCACTGGCTGGATCATGCCCATCGTGAGATGGTATAAACTTATAAATCATGGTGAATTTGCTTAGAAGAGCAATCACTAAATCATGAGAAAATTATTTTCTTCTCATGATGACAAAAAGATTACTTCTCATGAAGCCATGTACCATTTTCCACTTTGATCCATAATGTTGTAAAAAAAACCCCATTAATACAGGGCTACAAGGGAGAAAAGCCAGCATGTTACAAAGGATAAGAGGGCTTAAAATGTCAGAAGAGGTTCTGGGTCAATGAAAACTCTCAGATCAACAATACATGAGTTTGGAATGTCAGAAAACAATCTTAGAACAGGCTACAAATTTCTGAGAAGTGAATAATTTTATATACCTTGTTCAGTTCATAAGCATCTTATAATAACAGTGGTTTCCCAGGGGATCATTAGCTTCCTGTGTTTCTAACTGAAGGTACCATGCTAAATGCATTCATTTTCCCTCAGAATGGTCAGCTGAAAGTGCTCCAAGTTCAAGTGGCTGCTAAATGAATAAGAACTAATGACAAGTTTGGTTCTCCTCTTCATTTCGTACACCTTTTTATAAAACCCTTAAAGAACTAAAGCAGTGGGGAGTGGAGGTGTGTGGGTTGTGAGCAACTAACAACAACAACAACACAAAGCTTAGGGGATGGATATGTTGGATTGCAACCGGTGGCTTCCAGGCCAGTGAAGCAATCAGCTTCAGGTTGTGTTCAAGGAACTGGCCAAAATGCTGAACTCACTTCCACTTTGGATGGATCCTTTTAAAATCTGGACTGACACTTGGAGCAGATCACCCCAATGACATGGAAGCCATCAACCATCACTATTTCATTGCTATGAGTGTTCAGGAAATATGAATCTCAGAATGAAAAAGAACTGAACCTTGTAATAATTGTCTGTCTAGTGCAGGGGTAGGCAACCTTTTTGAGCCGGGAGCCGGGTTGCTGTCCCTCAGACAATTGGGGGGCTGAAGCACCCAAAATAAATAAATAAATAAATAAATAAATAAATTTTAAATAAAAAATAAAATAAATATATATATGCATGCACACACTCTTAGCCCCAGAAAAGCCATGGCAAAACCCCTGTGGAGATTTTGCCAAGAAAACCCCAAGAACAAGTAATAACAACAATAATCAATATCATCATGGTGGGCAGTGGTGGTGGGGGGCAGTGGCAGCGGCAGGACCAGCCTGGGGCTGGTCCAAAGGCCTTGGGGGGGGCACATCCAGCCCCCGGACCTTAGGTTGCCTACCCCTGGTCTAGTGGCATCTCAAGACCCTTTGACACCTAAAACACAGCCAAAATGATATACACACATATGCCTTGATAAGGTCAACACTTTAAATGAGGGGGGGGAGATCCAAGCAGATGTTGGACTATGACCCCCATTATACTTTATATTTCTCTATGCAGGCTTGGGCTGATGGGAAATGAAAGATAAGATCTGGAAGACCACACTTTTTCCATATCTGTGTTAACAAATTGTTGCAGCATTTGAAAAGCGAAATGAATCCAACAAAATCTGTGTGAACACTGTTGTTGGGACAGATTTGTCCTGCTTAACACAGCTCCCCTTCTCCCACCATGACTCCAAAATCTATTGCAGAGGTTTGGTTGGCCTACTGTATCTGATCTGGGTAGCCATAGAGGTGCAAATGTGGTGCCAAGAAAGAAAAGAAGTTCCTTTGCATGTACATCAGAAATGTATCTTTGAATGTTCTGCCTTCATCTCCTCATGGTGTGAGGGTTATGCAGATAAAAGTAGCATAGCCCTATGGGACAGGCTGCATCTACTCTATGGATTTAATGCAGTTTGATACTACTTCAACTGCCAGGCCTCAATGCTATTGAATTCAGAGATTTGTAGTTATGTGCGATATTTAACCTTCTCTGTCAGAGAGCTCTGGTGCTACATCAAACTACAAAACTCAGGATGCCATAGCAGTTATAGAAGTACCAACGGAATCAATTCTACAATATAGCAGCAACTGTAGTAGGGCACATGAAAGCCTATAGAGAACAAAAAGGATTCCCATCAAGAACATCTAGACAGGAACAAAAACATCTGTTCAGTTTTCCATACCATGGTGAGTTTGATTTCCACTTAAATTATAGTAATTACTATTAGAAATTGTCCTCCCTTGTCCTACTTTTCCGGCAGGCCTTCCCGGAATAACCCCAGCTGAACTGGAGGTGGTTGCTACCCGTCCCCTTCCTACCACTGCCTACTGCCCTACTTGGTTTTTATTGTATTTTATAAGTATTAATTGTTTTTAAATCTTGAATTAGTTTAATTTAGTTTTAAGGGGTGGGAGGGGGAGAGAGTGGGTTGATGGTATGTTTTAACTATTGTTTGTTTTAATTATGTTGTACCCTGCCCTGGTTGCTGAGCAGAAGGGTGGATTAAAAATAAAACTTCTTCTTCTTCTTCTTCTTCTGCTATACCTTACTAACTGCTATTGCTCTGCACTATGCCCCACGACTCTATCTGCTGCACCTTGCACTAGCTGCCACTTCTGGAGAGCTTTACAAAAAACACACCTGTGAATTATCTGCACATGAAGCATACTGGCTAATCTTGCATCACTTGTGCTCGAGTCTACAGAAAACTATAGGAGAAATTAGAATAATAGAATTACAGAGTTGGAAAGGATCACAAGGTCCATCCAGTCCAATTCATTACATGCAGGAATACACAACTAAAGCACTCCCCAAATATAAACATCAAACCTCTCTTTAAAGACTTCCAAAAAGGGGGTAACCTATATATCTCTAAAGCAGGTTATTCCACTGTTGAAAAACTCTTACAGTCAAGAAATTCTTCCTAATGTTTAGATGGAATTTCTTTTATTGTAATGTGAATACATTGGTTCATGTTCTAGTCTCTAGAGCAAAAGGAAATGAGTTCACCCTATCTTTTATTTGACATCTCTTCTGGTATTTAAATATGGCTGTCATATCATCTCTCAGTCTTCTCTTCTCCAAGCTAAACATACCTGGATCCATAAGAACATACCTGGATCCACAAGATATCCTCATAGGGCTTGATGTCCAGAACTTTTACAATCTTGGTCATCCTCCTCTGACATGTTTCAGATTGTTAATAGTCTTCTTGAGCTATGGCACCCAGAACCAAGTACCATATTCCAGGTGAGGTTTTACCAAAGCACAATAAAGTGGCACTGCTTGATTGAGACATTTTTCCAGCCTAGAATTGCAATGGTGTTTTTTCTACTAAGACCCCTAGATCTTTTTCATGTTTACTATTATCAAACGAGGTGTCACTCATCTATGTTTATGCATTTCGGTTTTCCTATCTATATGTAGTACTTTATCTTTTTGTTGTTGTCATGTGCCTTCAAGTCATTTCCAACTTATGGCAAACCTAAGGAAAACCTATCATGCAATTTTCTTAGTAAGATTTGTTCAGAAGTGGTTTGTCATTGCCTTTCCCTGAGGCTGAAAACATCTGACTTGCCCAAGATCATACAGTGGGTTTCATAGCCAAGCAGGGAATCAAACCCTGGCCTCCAGAATTGTTGTCCAAAACCCAAACCATTGAGCCACACCGGATCTTGAAATTCATGTCATTAGTCCTCCCAAATATCATGGATTGACTCCATCTTTCTGCTCTAATATAATTACTTATTATCCCCTCCCCATGAGACTTCCATTTTTTAAAACAACAACAGCAACAACTGCAAACTAGACAGAGATACACAGTTATCACCTGTGATAAATAGGGGTCTCTCCATTTTATCAGAGCCTTCTCCCTGGATTACAAAGGGTTAACTGTGGGAGAGGTTACATTGTGAGGAGAGCTTACATCACTGGTGTGGAGATAGCAATGGTTTGATCAGATGGGATATTGGGGAGAAGAAGGAAGAACCTTCTGGATGGTGCTGAGGAGAAATTTTGGGAGAAGGCCTGAGGGAGAGGAGCAAGGCTTCAGCCTGTGGGCCTGTCTGCCTGGCCTCTGTCCTGGAACCATGAGGAGCTTCTGACCAGGAAAATTTATAAATCCCTCAGATGTAAGACTAAGATTAAGAACACTACTAGTCAGTGATGCCAGGTTTGGGTTTATTTCAATAGTTTGGCTGAAATGATTGTAATCTGCAATGCATACTTCAAGTTTGTGCCTTGAGGACCAGTTTGTCTCTAATGTTCCTTTAGTTAGAATAAAGCTTTTCCTTAAAGTACTGTACTCTGCCTCTTTGTACTCATTTTCATGTGCTTTAGCTTGGCTAGTTCCTCACTGGGTTGGCAAATACCAGTGGAAGTCCCAGTAATGTCCCAATGCATTGTTAAGGTATACAGGTTAATCATTAGGTGGTTGGCAGCAAGTTGTTTTTGGATAAAAGGTGGTCTCAAGGGGCCCATCCAGCTCAGCAGGAGGGGAGGGGGGACCCACAGAGAACTTTCACAACACCACACATACTTTGGTCTTAAGTTGTAGGAAAATTTCTTATCCAATTTTATGTCATCTTGCAAACAACGTGCTTGAAAGGCTGTCGTGCCTTCATTAGTTTTATATAAGGAAGAAGCTCAACAAGTATGACTTTCTCTAGGAAAGTTTCCCTAGGAATTTTGCAAGTAGTTTCTGCATTGAGGCATTTGTAGCTGATGGTAGGCTGCATTGTCACGACAAAAACAGAGCACAGCCTCTCACTCTCCTCCACAGTCTGCCTACAGTGATTAGAACAATCAAGCTAGCACACACTATCTTTGTAATGCACCACACATGATACAAGATTAGCCTACTGATTCTCCTATGTGTGTGTTTTTAATAGCCCAAAAGCATCAGCCTCTTATGACTATTATGATCCATTTTTTAAATATCTTCAGAGAAAGAGCTACCCACAGTGCCACTACAGAGAACATAACATGTATCTTGTGCACTCTTCTTTTTAGAAGTATTTTAAACTGATTTCCTCAAAAACATACTGAAAATACACAATCATAAAAATACATTGTATCCTTAATTCAAGATTCCAAGCATGCAGACCTTTTAGAGGGATTGAAAGTCTGCCTCTGAGGGACTATGCAGACGGGAGGCTCTGGACTTCCTCTGCTAGTGGTAGAGGCCCTATGGGGCTGTATGGACGGGCAAAAAGAAGTGCTTTCAGGTTGACTTGGAGGCATGGTGTTTAGATGATGTACACCTAAAAGTCAGCAGGAAAGCGCCCTCTAGGTGCCTCATGCCAGGAAAAGCCACTCCAAAAAGGAGCAGCTTTTTTCTGCTTCTTCCAGAAAGATGTGCACCTTTGCAGATGTGTCTGTGTGCAGTGACACAGGGCCAACAGAAAAGGGGCACCCAAGATTTAAAACAGCCGTATAAATGCCCTGGCACACATGTGGCGGACTTCTAGTCACCGATTCAGAGCCTGCGCTGGTACGAAGAAAGTTTCAATTTAAAGCGTCCTATTGGCCCAGGTGTAGATCCACCATTGCAGGTGTACCTACATATTTCAACTCTATCCCTAACTCTAATTCTTACACTACACATGCACCTTAGCAACTATTGGGACACTGAAAGTGTTGCTGCCAGATGTTTCACCATGAGAAAGTGATACGGGAAAAGACACTTTTCAGCTGGACTCTCACGCACATTCCAGTGCCATTTTCCCAGCGGTCCTGTGCAGTTGTGCAGGTCTATAGCTATGATCTATCAGCTCTCACCTTCTACAGTGGGCATAATGACAAAGCCATCCACAAGCGATGAGCCAAAAAGAGGGTCACATGCGGAGATGGCTGACCTGATAGCTCTTTGGTCACAACCACATATTCTGGACAAATTGAGAAAGTCCTTCTTGAAT